TATATATATATATATATATTAAAATTATAGAAAATAATATATATAATAAAAATATTATAATTATTAATTATTATAATTCTTGATTTTTTAATTATAAAATAAAAAAATTATATATGATTTTTATTTTTATAAAATATTTTTAAAATATATAATAAAATATTTTTAAAAAATATAAAACGAGCCGAGCTCGAACTTATAAACTTTTGACTTGAACTGAACTCAAGCTCAAGGTTTTGGCTCGAACTGAACTCGAGCTTTATAGAATAGTCTCGAGCCGAGCTTGAGCCTAGTACTATTCGGCTCGGCTTAAATCCACCCCTAGTGGTAAACGTACCCTTAGTAATTAGGTTGATATGGTCTAGTTTGAAACCGGTTCTGCATATTTATATTAGCTCGGGACTAGGTCTATGTCTACCCTGATTGACCAGTCCCGACCCATTAATAGTTTTCACTCAAAGTATCATTTCATGGCTTAATACTTGGCCAATTACCTAGCCACCAAGCTCCAAGGTCTTGATGTAGACAGTAAAAACTCCACAAAGGCAAATTGAAGCTTTTTTTTTTTTCTCATTTCTGTTGGGCCTTGGTCGAATTTTGGGGTCTGTCGTGGAACTCCATTTGTTTTTCCTTTGGACATTCAAAACGTCAGATTGGGAATAGCCTAGATACGTTTTTCTATTGATTTTTCCACAAAGGGGTTTCTGTAAGATTCTTGTTGTCGATCGTGGTGCCACTTCCAACTTGCTTTTGGGCTCATTGGGTGCTTCTTCACGTTCTAGAGATAGTGATTTTGCTCCGGTGCCTGGCTTTCTATGTATCCGACTTAGGAATTTTGGGTATTTCATTTGCAATGATGCTACCGTTCCTGGCAATCCTTTTTCCGGCGATCTTCGGATTCTCTCCGACGACATTTATGCTCCAATCATTTTGGTTTCTACAACAACTTGGATGGGTGGGTCTCATTACGCATTTTATGCCCCTAAAGTTGCAAAGTGTTTTGTGAATTTTTTGGCTGGTTCCCATTCCTGGAATATTTAGAGGGTTAGGGAGTATTTTGTGGATTTTGGGCAGGTTGGGCATACAACCGTGTTCGCAGGAGGCAATCTTAGGCCTCTCCCACACTCGTGTTTACTCTGTTTTATCTCACTTTTGCTATGGTATTAGTTTTGGTCATGCACAGTTGATCCAGATTCCAGACCCAAATGGTAGGGAGACGCATTTTCCGACTTCATCTCTATTGGAGGTATCTAGCCGACCTTTTCGGCATTTTTGTTTTGAATTTGCACAATTCGCAGATGTTTCTTGAGTCGTTTTGAATTTGCACAATTCCTAGTGGAATGTTATTCATGAGAATCCATTCCAGCCAATTTTGATTTCAATTCTAATTGTAGACTAGACCAAGTAGGTAAAGGAAATAGATCATTCCGATTCTAATTCCAAAAATTTGATTCCAACTATGAGCCAAATAGACCCTAAGTTTGTTTAAATACTCAATGGACATGGACATCCATCAACAATTGTATATCTATATTATGCAGGCACAACGTTTATGATTCCTCTTGATTGGTGAAAAATCATTTAGATATCATATCTTTTCGATATCATAGTCGAACCTACATCGAGTGTAAAAGCATGATATCAAGAATTTTAGCTAGGTTCTTAAATTTTGAACGCAAATCAATGAAAGGGGTCTACTTGTATAATTTACGTAAAATATCAAACGAGGAATTTGGAGATGTCAAAGTGGTTAAATCATTTGTGAAAAAACATTCCCACTTGATGTATCATTCATGATGGTCTATAAAAGTTTTTCTTTTTTTATTTGTGTTTTCGTTTTGCTTTTTTGCTTTCTTAAATCTCGTGCCAAAAAGCAGATCCTTAATAAGAGTCTAGATCACCTGTCAACAAAATACATTCCAACCCTCTATCAACATGACTTCAGACCACACATCTCATACATAGTGGGTCCCACTTTTATGATGGATCTCAGTCTCATGGAGAGATGTAGGATGTTAGATAAGTTGATAGAGGGTTGGAATGTATTTTGTTGGTAGAAGATCCTAATTCCTATAAGATTATGTTTGGTTTAAAGGAAAATGTAACGAAATGAAGGAAAAAATAGAGAAACCCATACAAAGTTTATAAAAGTTTTCCTATCTTTCTTTTCCTTTCCCTACATTTTCCTTCAAACCAAACACAACTTTAGTGAGCTATGAATCCAGTTCATGGGTTATTCAATGACAGAGACTATTCTAATTGGATCACTGCTTGACCCGAATAGAAAACCCGGTCCCATATGTTAACGTCGTTTTTAAACGTTGGAGCCTGTCAAACTACACGTCTCCCTCTCTCCCCATCTCTCTCGTTCGTCCCATTAGAATTTAGAGGATGCCCCAGAGAACACTCTCGTTCGACCCATCAGAACGCAGAAGAGTAGCGCTCTGTGAGGAAACAATCCGGATTCCACTGCGAAACCACGCAAAAGTATTCAACCTCTCCTCAGAACAAATCACACTACATACATGGTGGGACCCATTCCTCCAATTATGTCCGTCTTCTCTCTCTCCTTAACAATTCGTATGGCAGTTGTTCGGTAATATTCCTCCTCCTTCCCCCACACTAGCCTTCATCTCTCTCTCTCTCTCAATCTGGAGTCTGGACTATGGAGTAAGGACTGGTTCTTTTGCTTCTTTTTTCTCCCTTCTCTTTGTTGTCTCTCTTTCACACAGAGACCCACCAATCTGCAACAGAAACAGCTGAGTATCTGTTTTAATGTTTAGATATAAAATTGATAGATAGATAGATAGATATAAGAAGAGGGAAAGAACGAGTGGGGTCGAGAGATCATGACAGAAGGAGAGTCAGATACAACGTTGGAGTATACACCAACGTGGGTGGTGGCGTCTGTTTGCATTGTTATTGTCGCAATTTCTCTTGCTGTTGAGCGGATCATTCACTTCATTGGAAAGGCAAATATCCTCATTTCTTTTCAATTGTATCATCAGCTTGATTTCAAGCTTGAAGCTCAATTACTCCGCTTTGGTTTCGTGTTTGATTGGTTGCTTGCAGTACTTGAAGAAGAAGAACCAGAAACCTCTCTTTGAAGCCTTGCTGAAAGTTAAAGAAGGTCTGCTCTTCAATGTTCATCCCCTTCCGCATCTCTGTGCAATTAGTACACGACTGAATTTTAAATCCAAAATGAATAAAAAGAAGACCTACAAAAGAAAAACCTCAAAGTTTTGCTCATAACTCCGTGTTTTGCTTGGTTTGCAGAGTTGATGCTTTTGGGGTTCATATCCCTTCTCCTGACTGTGCTTCAAGAGAGGATTGGTAAAATTTGTATCTCCAAAGATTTAGCCCGTCATATGCTTCCTTGTAAGCTTCATGAAATGTCATCCACGGAACATTATCAAAGTATCTCAACTCCTTTCATATCTGGGATTGGAAGGCGCCTGCTTACCTCAGGAGCCGGTTCTGGTTACTGTTTGAAGAAGGTAAATTGAATGACAAATTCTAAGTGGCATTCAAGCTCCTAAGATCATCCAACAAAGTTAATAAATTTATGAAAAAATGAAGTCTAAAAATTTGTCTAAAGTTAAAGCAGAGGGGGGAAATGGAAAGGAAAAGGATATATTAGTTTTTTGTGTTCTTCCTGGTCTTTTGGAAATTGGCTGAAAAGCACTAATTTTCTTGTTGTGAGTTCTAAACACAAATCAGAACCATCTGGTTAGAAAACAAATTGGTTCTTAAAACAAAAACACAGAAAACATGTTCTTGGTTGTGTTATGTGCTTTTTTTTTTTTTTAATACCAAAACTGGAACAAAAAACATATTCCTGAATTTCTGGTTTAAAGTATATGTTTTCGTCTTGTTATCTAAGGTCATGTTTCATAAATCATATAATATCTGTACTTCATTTTCTTCTTCTTTTTTTTTTCTTTCAAAACCATGAACTGTTTTTTTAAATAAAACAGAAGCAAAAAACACTGTTTAAGAACATGTTTCATTTTTTTTTTTTGGTATGACAATTTTAAGGCAAATTAAAACAAAAAATTCATGTCGTAGAATACCCCCTTTAATTTCCCTACCATATGATTTCAGAAGCTTATAATTGAGCATTGTGATTAGTTATGGCATGCATTCTGGAACTAATACAATTCCTGAAAGTTCTTTTCCATTTCTTTTTTTTTTGTTATTCTGAATAGTCTAATTTAGGCAAATTGTCATGTCCTAAAAAATCCTTATGTTTGTCAGTATGTGCTTTCCTGTGATTGTTCATTCAGAGAACCACAGATTTATCTTGCATAAGCCAGCAACCCATGATAGTGATGTGAAACTATACCTGTTCATATTGATCAAAAAAAAAAAAAAACCTTGTTCATATTAGTGACCATCAAAGCATCTTTAGGAGTGTGAGAAAGATGAGACATTTTAATGCTTTGAATAAGCCAAGAAATACTAGGAACTTGTCTTAGAAAGTCCTAAAATTAATGTTCAAAGGGAAAGACCATTACCCAATGTTGGTCCCAGAAATCCTTTTGCCAAGGTGGCTCCTATGCAATTAAGCAAATGAGCCATGACTAAAAGGCCATTACCCAATGTTGGTCCCAGAAAATGGGTCATGACTAACAAAGAAAAACCCAAATGCAGGTAACACTGTTAAGAAAATGGCACCAAATAATCCTAGTTATGCATTATTTATTAAGATAATTTGTCAATTCTCATCTTTGATGGACGCTACAAATCTGACAGTAGGAGTGTTAAATTTTTCTTCACTTTTTACTACAAAATAAGCATTGGTGCTCTTAATGGCTATAATGTCATGGTCATGTCTTCTTGTGAAATGAGGTGTATAATTTAAATTTAAGTTTTTATCTGGAAGTGGTGTGCACATCAGAGATTCAGAATTGAGAGGTATGATTATTTTCTCCTCTTTCATTCTTTTCAGGAGAAGGTCCCATTGTTATCTATCACTGCATTGCATCATCTTCATATCTTTATCTTTGTCTTAGCAATTGTCCACGTGACTTTCTGTGTTCTCACCATTGTTTTTGGGGGAGCAAAGGTAAAGGGGTTTGTACTGCTTTAACTTCTGATTTATACTTGTTTATCCATTACTTTTTCATCTACAGCTTTATTGAATATTGATTTCTGTGTCATTATCTAGATCCGTAAATGGAAGCGTTGGGAGGAATCTATTGAAGAAGATACATATAATACAGAGGAAGGTAATGTATAATAGTTTTATTGCATCAAATCTTCTGTTTTTCCTGATTGTTTTTTTTTTTCATTTTTTTTGGTAAATAACAACATTTTTATTTTATAGCTGTGGTCATTTCTGATCAAATCTTCTTACTGCCAAGAATTGTAGGAAGACATCCACTAGTCCCTTTTGTTTTAGTTGTTCTAATCTGAAAGTGTTTGTACAGGTATGATGACAAAGTTCACTGTTGTCCATGAGCATTCATTTATCAAGAGTCGTTTTCAGGGTATTGGGAAAGACTCAACTATTCTAAGATGGTTGGTAAGTCAAAATTCCATTTCTTGGAAATTTGTGTCATTTTATCAAATATAAAGGCTCAAAATTCAAAGCTGGTGGGAAAACCTTTATTTTTCTCCAAGAAATTCATGTTACGCTCATCATTTCTGGATTTATTTTAAAAGGCATATTTCTGTCAACAGTGACTGTTTAATTATGATATGCATGATTTTCCAGTCAGTGTTGGGTAGTAATGACAGGTATCACCAGCCCAGCCCAGGGTCAGGTAGGTTCAATCCTAGTAGCCCCCCAAAACTAGGTTGGTCTGGGTTAGGCATATTTCATTCAGGATCTCACCCAACTGTATAGTATAAGAATATGCAGTATGCAACTATATATATATATCCATCTGTTTTTTTTTTTTTCTTTTTTTTTTTAATATTTGAGCCTGCCTCGTTTGCCTGACCTTGGCAGGCTATGCTAGTATTTTATGTAAGGTGGCTGGGCTGGATGCAAGGTCATCTATCCTTCACTTATCCCAGCCAATGGTCAGTCATCTTATATAACTGAACATATTGATTATATTTGAATTTATGATAGTATCGAATTATAAGAGCACCTGTATAGGGTTTATTTTGGTTATAGGTGAAGATGTTTCATCATAATCCATGCTATACACCTATGAGAATCCCTTTGTCACCAATCTTGCATTGTATCTTTCCATGGATCCATTTGCTTGATGCTTCTTGGAGAACATCCACTTACACCTTACTATGTTCTTTCCCTTTAGGAAGATGAAAAAGATCCTAAGTTTTGTTCTTGTGGACAGAACTAATCTTATCCATCATAGCATCTGCCCACGTAGGCAAAGATAAGGCCTTCGTAATACTTTTAGGAATAGACACATTAGAGATAGAAAAAAGTGCAATAGGGAGAAGCTCATGGCCCTAGATGAAACACCCGTGTCCCAACCATCTACCTCTTGCCCATGTAGACTTAAGATAATTTTAGCCCATAGGTTATCCCTTTCCTTTGTCAGTCTCCATAACCATTTCCCTAGCAGAGCTTCATTCTTCTTCTACAAGTGACAAGATCCCACCTAACTCTATGATCCCTTTTCTCCTCCCCAGGTTCCCATAAGAAATCTCTCATAAGTTTCTCCAGCACCCTACACACTCCCTCAGGAATTTTAAACACAAATAGAAAGTAGATAGGGAGGTTCTCCAAAGTAGCTTTAGTCAAGGTTATCCTACCACCCAAAGACAGGTAGTTTTTCTTCCAAGAAGCAAGCCTACTTGTGAACTTCTCAATCACCGGATTCCAAAAGCCGCTTTTGCAAGGATTATCCCCTAACGGAAGCCCCAAATACTTCATTGGCCATTGAGCAATCTCGCATCCCAATACTTGGGCCCTTTCTTCCACCTCTCCAACACTCATATTAATGCCAACCACACAACTCTTATCAAGCTTGACTTTAAGGTTGGTCACTTTTTCAAACACATTAATCACCTGTTTTAAGTTTCTAACCCACCTAATCTCATCCCCTCCACAAAACAGAGCAAACTGTAAATGAGTGACCGGAACCCCGTCCCTCCCGATTCTCCAGCTACTAACCAAACCTCTAGAATCTGCTCTCTCAATAATCCTCCCCAAAACTTCAGCAATCAGGGTAAAAAGAAAAGGGGAAGGGGGTCCCCTTGCCTAATACCCTTAGTAGCTGGAACATGGTTTACTACCCTACCATTCACCAGAATGGAATAGTGGCAAGTCCTAATACACCCTTTTATCCACTTACACCACCTCTGCCCAAATCCAAAAGACCCTAGGACTTCCAACAACACCGACCAATCAACCAAGTCATAAGCTTTTTCTAGATTCAATTTACACACCAGCCCCTTCTTCCCATTTCTTTTTAGATCTTCCACACTCTCATTTGCTATTAAGATTTGATCCACAATTTGTCTGTTCTTCACAAATGCGCCTTAGTTGGAGGAGATGATTGTGGGGAGAACCTCTCTAATTCTATGCGAGAGTACCTTAGCAATAATTTTGTTGAGGCTATTGACCAAACGGATGGGTCTGAACTCCTTAGGGTGACAAGCTCCCTCCTTTTTTGGAATTAATGCAATAAAAGTAGAGTTCAGACCTGGGTTAATCACCCCTCTCACAAATGTGCCTTAGTTGGAGGAGATGATTGTGGGGAGAACCTCTCTAATTCTATGCGAGAGAACCTTAGCAATAATTTTGTAGAGGCTATTGACCAAAATGATGGGTCTGAACTCCTTAGGGTGACAAGCTCCCTCCTTTTTTTGGAATTAATGCAATAAAAGTAGAGTTCAGACCTGGGTTAATCACCCCTCTCTGAAAGAATTTAGAGAACACAATCTGGATGTCATCCTTAATTATCTCCCAGCAGTCTTGGTAAAAAGCCATCATGAAACCATCAGGTTCTGGGGCTTTAGCTTTATCCATAGAGAAAATGGCATCCCTTATTTCTTCCATTTCAAACTCCCTTTCCACCCATTCCATAAGCTCTTCTGGGAGCCTGGGCTAGTCCAAACCTTCAATCCTTAATCTATCATTCAGAGGCCTCCTGAAAATAGATTTGAAATGATTCACAAAAGCCCCTGCGATCTCATTTTGTTGGGTTAAAGTTATACCATCAACCACCAACTTAGAAATGGAGTTCTTCTTCCTTCTACCATTTGCTATAACATGGAAAAATTTTGTGTTCTGGTCTCCTTCCTTCACCCATCTGTGTCTAGATTTTTGCTTCCAACTGATCTCTTCTTTGAACAGAAGAAATGGAGTTCTTCTTCCTAAACACCTCAAACAAATCTTCTTTAATAATGCCCCAACACTCTTGATAGAAAGCCATGGTAAAACCATCTGGTCCAGGAGCTTTTGACCTGTCCATAGAGAAGACAACTTGTCTTATCTCTTCCTCTTCAAAGTCTCTTTCCAACCAAGCTACCTCACCGACTGATAGACCTGGCCAATCTAGATCTTCCACTCTCACCCTTATCTCTAGCAGTCTACTCAAAATGGATTTGAAGTGAGTTACAAAGCAATTGGCTATCTCCTCTTGTAACTCAATTTCTACTCCTTCAACCTCAATCTTGGTCACAAAATTTTTTCTCCTTCTCCCATTGGCCATAGCATGAAAGAACTTGGTATTCCCATCCCCTTCTTTGATCCATTGATGCCTAGATTTTTGCCTCCAAGATATCTCTTCCCTCAATAGGACCTCTTCCAAATCCTTCTTCAACTTCCATCTTAGTTCTCTTTCTTGTGCACTCATGGTCCTTTAATGTTCCTTTAAATCTAAATCTTCGATTTGGGCTGTCAATCTGGCTTTTAACTCTTCCAATCTCCCAAATTCCTCTCTGTTCCAAGTTAGGCCGGTGGTGCCCAACTTCTCTTTTATAATAATATGATGTAACAAATAAAAAAAGGAAATTACAAGTAGGTCCCTGGCGGACCACCCTAAAAATAAAAACTTAAATTAAAGAAAAGAACATGCTGACAGCAATCTAACAACAGAAATAAAACACTTTAATCCAACAACACTCCCCCTCATGTTGGGCTAAATATATCTATCATGCCCAACTTGTCACATGGTTCATTGTGCCGCAAGTATGGAAGCCCTTTTGTGAGAACATCAGCAAGTTGCTCCTTGGATTTGACATAAGGAGTACAAATTTCTCCCTTTTCCAATTTTTCTCTTATGAAGTGCTTGTCCACTTTAATGTGCTTGGTCTTATCATGTAGGACAGGATTTCTAGCAATGTTTATAGCTGCCTTATTGTCACAGTACAAGGACATAGGATTGTGAATAGTAACCCCAAGTTCTCCTAAAAGGTTCTTCAACCAAAGAATTTCAGGCATCTCATGTGCCATAGCCCTATACTCCGCTTCAGCACTCGATCTTGCAACTACACTTTGTTTCTTACTTTTCCATGTCACTAGGTTTCCTCATACAAAAGTACAATATCTACTTGTGGACTTTCTATCATCCACAACACTTGCCCAGTCAGCATATGTATAGACTTCCACTCTCAGATGATTATGTTTTACTAAATAGCAACCTTGTTCCTGGATACTTATTCAAATACCTAAGAATCCTCTCTGCTGCCTCCATGTGTGGTCTCTTAGGGGAATGCATGAATTGGCTCAGGACCCCAACTGAATAAGTAATGTCTGGACGTGTCATGGACAAATAAAGCAACCTTCCCATTAACCTTTGAAACTGTTTCACATTTTCCAATGGTTCACCATCACAATCTCCCATTTTTTGATCAACATCCATAGGGGTATTTGCTGGTTTTACACCTAACTTGCCTGTGTCCTGTAACAAGTCTAGGATATACTTCCTCTAAGAAATGAAGATGCCCCTTTTTGAGTGGGCAACTTCAATTCCTAGAAAGTACTTTAGGGGACCCAGATCTTTCACTTCAAATTCAGAGACAAGGAATTCCTTCAACTTTTGTATTTCTATGCTCCAGTTCCCTGTAATGATGATATTATCCACGTACACTATTAACACAAGCACTTGCTCATGACATCTCTTCACAAAGACAGTGTGATCAGACTGACATTGTTTGAACCCTCCTTGCTGAACCGCCATATGAAATTTACTAAACCATGCTCTAGGAGATTGCTTGAAGCCATAGAGGGACTTTCTTAGCTTGCACACCTTATTTTCACTTTCTTTGGCACATAAACCTGGGGGTTAAACCATGTACACCTCTTCCTCCAGATCATCATTTGAAAAGGAATTCTTTATATCCAGTTGATGCAATTCCCAGTCAAGGTTTGCAACTAATGATAAGAACTCGAATTGAGTTCATCTTAGCTACTGGAGAAAACGTCTCATCATAGTCAACACCATAGACTTGAGTGTATCCTTTAGCTACCGGCATTGTTTTGTACCTTTCAACTGTCTTGTCTGCCTTGTGTTTCACTGTAAACACCCACTTACTCCCCACTGGGTTTTTCCCGTTTGGAAGATCCACAAACTCCCATGTTTGATTCTTATGGAGAGC